TTGATTTGATTTTGAAAATAGAAAACATATGGAAATACAATCAAATATTTTGTTACTATTCCATACGACATCTTTTTATCGAATTTTTGTTGATTTGACTATCTAGGCAACATAAAAATTTGTGATGTGTATTCGTGTTTGTCAAGAAATCTGATAAATCATTTATCAGATTGATTTTCACAATATAAACGTACTTAGAATTTCATATAGATAATAGAGTTTTTAGGGATGTATTTCATAAAATGTACTACAATGTTGTACTTATTATGTCTACTAATGAGATATGATGTTTTTTTTTTTTTATGACAAGTCAACTTTTTCTTCTAATGAATAGTTGAGTAATTAAAGTTTCTCTTAAATCGTTTTATAAAAATGAATAAATTTTCGAAATAATTCTATATCCTAAAGGTCAACTACTCATATTCAGTCTTCCCCTTAATTCTTTCATAGATAATTTTATTATTCTTTATTTACGCATTTTGTATTTTTTTTGATGAATTTATAAGCTTATAATTCAATCTAAAAATACTTAATGCTCATTATATGAAAAATTTTTTTTTAATTAAGAACACTATAATTTTACTCGTTTTTTTCTTGGAAAACTAAATGTCAATTCTATATTTTTACGTTATTTCTTTCTAATAATATGATTACATTATTTAAAATGAGAATTGTAAAGAAAATAGCAATATTTTGACACAAAAATTAAATGTGTTTCTTTAATAATCGATATGTTTTTCTTAAAATGACATTATGTTCTATTCATTATATCTAAATGGGTGGTAATAGGTAGCATCTATTGTTTGCGAGTTTGAAAATAGTGATCGTTTATTGTCCGTAAACATTTTTACATTTAGATTTATTTTAAATTCATAAAAAATTGAAACTAGAAAAAGCTTTTTTTTTGTTATATGTAACAATTATTTACTAACAAAAGCGTGCTTGTTTTCTTATTCTCTATCATCTTTATAAATGCTTGAATAATTTTTTTTTGAAATCGTACTACCAACAATCATGTTGACATTCGGATGATTATTTTTTTGTCATACTGAGATTTTAATTTCTAGTTTATAGTAAATGTGTCAATTGTTATTGACTAAGATGTTAATATTCATCAAGCTAACAAATCAATGTTGCTTGAGAATTGTAAAGCTTATGCGAAATAATATTGATTCATATTAATGTAACTAAAAATGATCTTTGTTGCAAAATAATTATCCTGTGAAGACATGTATTGATAACATGCTGTAAGAATCAATCATTATTAGCGTTTAATTTGTTGATGTCTACTATCAAAGAGAAACCCAGTTCTTCAATTTTTCATTAACAATTTACTGTTATTTGACAAAAAGCAAATCTGTGATAGGTTCAGAGGTGGCGAGATATTTTAAAATGAGGTGAGGCTCATCAGAGAAGTCTTCGAACTATGTGAACTTTTTTTGAATCGAGGCTATGTTCATTATGTAGATCATAATGAGATGTAAATTCTCTGAAAAGAATTTGTATCCTTAGGTTATTATTAGGAAGAGACTGCATTTTTAGAGTATATTTTAAATAAATGCCGTGGTCTCCTACGGGAAAAACTGATTTTCGAATTTTGACTTGAAACTCAGTGCAGAGACAAATCTTAACGA